AGTACACCCGGCCCACCTGCCAGTGTGATCAAAAGATCAAAACAGTACGCGGTCAACCTTGAAGTTTTTTTCCTTTTATTTTCGCAACTTTTTCCTACAAACTGCATACTTTCTTTTAAATTGTTTAAATGAACGGCGGTAGAGTCACTAGGTTTTGAAATCACTTAAAGACCAACAGCTTTTGCATTTGTTCCGTCTCTAGATTTGCATCTACGGATAGACTGAGGCGAACTCAACCTGATCCTCAAGACTTTCTTGTAACGGAAAAGAAGTAAACTGGGTTAAGAGGACAACAAGGAAGACAAGGAATGATCGTAGTTTTCTGTTTGTCTGTATCGATCTGTATTAGCTACGACCATTTAGTTTTTTAAAAACTTGACCAGCAGCCGGGTACAAGCAACAGACTAACCTCCTCCGCAGTAACCTGCGATCAGGCGGTCCTTCTACTTTTTTCCTTAAGAGGCGAGGAGGAAAAGGACCTTTTACCCTTTGCATGCCCACCCCCGGCCACCCATGCTCCCCCCCCCCCTCAAAAAAAAAAGGGGGGAAGCCTTATCGAAGGTTACATCCGCAGACAATTCCGTTTTGTAAGGGTCACACTGACTGTGAGGAGTCTGAAAACAAGAAAAGGAGAGAAGAAAAAGTCTCTCCCCATTCTCTTCCCATTCTGCCACCCTTTCTCTAAAACAGAAGGATAGTGATGATATGGCTGCGGAGGAGGTTAGCCACAGCCTAACGTTTTAGTCAAAGACTAGGCAATTTTACTTGAAAAATGACTAGCTTCGGTGGTTATGGCACTATATTGAATTACTAAGCTTGATATGTTCTCCTTCTTCCAAGTAGTGATTTATTAATCTTAATGTTATGTTTTCGGTTAGAATGTTGTGATAATGTGTAAATAGCATTACAAACCAATTTTCCTGCGGAAATTTCTCTAAATTCTTTTTTTTAAATCTTCTGCGGGTGTTGGATTTTGATCCACTCTATCGATTTTGAAGCTTCTTAGAGAATGGCTTCGAAAGTCAATAACGATATCAATGATGAGATCTAAAGTCATGGTACGCTTATTCCCGTTTGGAACATTGAGATCGGGAAACTGCAGGACCACCTTTCAAAGGTTTCAAATATTTTCCTTTGGAACGTTATAACTGAACAACTTGAAAAGTCCCGTTTCAGGGTTAAGACCCGGCTCAAACCCGGTACCTCGCATGAGCCGAAGCTGATAATGAGCAAAAGCTGTTAGATTCAGCTCCGTGAGGTAAAACGCCTGGCCTTATATCACTTTGCAAATGGATTTTCCGCAATCTTTTTGCAAATGGTATACCGCCTCAAGGTTCTTTCTCCGCTTTTTCCTTCACGATGTTCAATATCTGATTTAAAGCCTTGTGTAACTCTTCTATTCTCTGGTTTTGCGCTTCTACAGCGCTTTCAATTTTTTTCATGTTTTCCTCGTGTGTCCTCATACCATCTGATATTTTCTCAGAGCTTTCCTTCAAGTGTTGCAATATGACATCACTGGATTCTTTCACCTCTCCAACTGACTCTAAGGTATTGTACAAAACCTTGGCCTGCTGCATCTCGCTGAACATCGAAGAGAGAACCTCATGACCGTTTTCTAAACTCTCGCGTTTGTCTTGGGACCGTTTTTCGTTTGCAGGACACATCTTGATAAAAATGAACAAAGAAAACAGTTTTATTAATTCTTGTTCCCCATAATTCAAAATAATAATTAATGAAGACGGTACCGGTGTTGGAGCGCTTGCCAAAGGGACTGAAAACGAAGCCGAAGGCACTTTAACCTATAACACTTATTTGTCGCCAGCATTCTTTCATATATGCAAACACGACCTGATAATGTACGCCCTTTTTGAGTCATCTCAAGGGGAAAGATGACCCGGAAACGGACTCTTACTTATCTGGGATTATGTTTATACATTCCATTCAGAATGTCCGTGATCTTAAGATCTTCGCAGAACCGGGTTGAAAGGGGAGCGCTCTGCAAGCTGAATGGAATTTTGATGATTATTACATAAAGTGAACTAAACGATAATGAATTTAAAAACTGGCTTAAACATAACAAATGAGCATTGCGGTGTTATATTATGAATTGCGCCCGTAAACTGCACACGGCACACGACTGTTGACCTTTGAAAAGGAGAGATCGATCCTAAAGGACAACGATATATGACCGCTGATCTTTGAAAAGGAGAAATCGATCCTAAAGGACACTAACCTTTGCTAACACTCTGATCCCGTTATGCTTCATTCCCACGAAAGGGAAAAGGTCCGATTTGTCGGTTCCCATAGATATTGAAACTTGAGCCACCTTGTGACCATTAAGAGTGAAGTGAATAGGAATTTGATCGTAGCTTGCTTCATCAAAGTCGGCCCAGCATCCAATCAAATCACCTCGATACACTACTGGACCTAAAGATAACAGTGTATGTCGCATTACAAAAAAATTCTATTCGCTATTTGCACATCTCCCATAATACACCTTATTTCCTCCTTAAAATTTTGCATAGTAATTAATTTAATTTCCCCTGGGGCAACTGTAATATCCAGGAGAAATTAAAAACAAGGATTATGCAAACTCTTGGGGGGCAAACAAGGTGTGTTAAGGGAGAGGTGCAAACAGAGAATGGATCAAGCTCTCGCCTCAGTGATATCACACATAATCCAATTTGTTGGAGCGTTAACTTATCATGAAAAGGTTGCATAGCTTGGGGTAAAAAATTTCTTCCACTGGGGCTCCTGCTTTGGCAGACAGAGGAGGAGTGAGCATTTTAGTAACGCTCATAGCAACAGATTATAACCAGAACAAGCCAATGAAATAAAAAGGGTCAAATACATGTTATCAGGTCTCTCCAAAGATACTCTTGTTCCTGACTGATGTCCTCAAATTTTAGCCTACCGTAAATCCTCTATTAAGCCCCCCCTGCAGGGGCTTTTTTCATTTAGAAAAGACGATGGTATCAGTTCTTCAAAAAGAACTAGAATACAAAGTGGAGAAGCTCAAGATTAAGAAGGTCTAGAGCCGAGGATCAGAATCAAATCCGAACTTCCAGTTGGCAAATAAACCATCCCGGATCAGTCCACACGAAGTTTTACAGTCGTGATTGATAAATACAGTCTATCATTTATTAGTGAAGAAAAATTAGGGGAGGGGAGATGGGGAGCTTAAAAGAGATGGGGGTTATTAACTTTCTTCCCCTAAAAAGGGGGAGGGGGTATTTTCAATACAGGATTTAAGGTAATTTTCTTCCACGGTTGGAGGTATATATTATGGAAGCCATGACAAAGGCAATAGAATTGACATTCATGAGCATAACCAAACTTGGAAAATCTTTTTCTCACAGGGGAAAACAAGGAATAACTGGGTAAATAAAATAAATTGTCATATTCTTATGTATTGTCCATCTTTACCATTCTTTTTCAGAGGTCTTTGAGCCACAACCTCTTCGTTTCAGTAACTTGAGTTCTTCATAATACATTCCTAACACACAGTTTGGCAAATTTAAGGAACAGTCTGTTACAGGAACAGTCTGATACGAAATTGAACGTCATAGGTAAGTTCAAAAAATGTCTGGGAAAAATGAGAGTTTTTTTGTTTGTTGTTGTTCTTTTTTTATTGTTTGTTGTTGTTGTTGTTTTTGTTTTTGCGCTTATTTGTCCACACTTAAACAAAACAGTCTGTACCGGAGCTACCGAATAATTCATATAACAATTTTAGTTCTATGCATGAAAAACTTTGTGAGCAAAATGTTTTGAATGATCCCCTATTCATGATCATACTCACCTTCCTTCATCAGAAGCTGTTTTTTAGACCCGTCACAGTAAACAATATGTCCATTGCATGCGTGGTAACCGACAGTGTGGCGTATTTCACCTGCGGCAAAATGCACGTCGTGTTTTGCCCGGACTACTCCAATAACTATGTCTCTTTTCATTCCATCTTCCTGTATAATGACCTGGAAAAGTATAACAACACAGCTTGTAGTGTGAAAGGTTTGAACCCAGGAGTCATTTCAAAAGTAGGTTGAGTTTGATCGTCCGGGTGAACGTAGTCCTGAATAGGACTGTTGTTGTTGACAGTGACTGACGTTTCGACAAACTGTACGGTAGTCAAAAGCACTTATGATTGAATGAAAATGAACAAAAAATCGTTTTGTAGTGCCACTGGGGAGACATTTTGAAACATCGCGCGCTTACATAATTCGAGCGAAAAATCGCCTCCATTTCCACTAATAGCCTTCAATTTGCATGTCAGTCTAGCTAAGCTCAAACTGCCCTGGTGAAACCCCGTTTTGATGTGTAAACCAGTATTTGTAATGAATTAAAACTAAACGGAGCGCCCGCTCAGCAGAAAGGTTAAGTTGCCAGGGGTACAATAGGCGAATCTTTGCTGACGTCATTGTTACATTTTTCCTCATTAGCATACGACTTAACTAGTAGAAGCCGTGGCCGTAAATATGAACTACATACAAAAGTTAAAAGAGCTGATTAAGTTGAGCAATTTGTGCATTTTCAGCTCTTTGCAAGCAATATTGAAGGAAATATCAGCCATCAAAAAGCTGCGAAATTGCTGGGTGGCAAAAAATTTAACGAGCCAAACATTCTCTGTAAAATTTCGAGTTTTTAGAAGACAGTTTCTCTGAACCACTCGGTTTATTGGGCTCAAATTTTCAGAGATAACTGAAACTGTTATGCCCTTTCAATATTCAGAGTTTTATTTTGTCAGATAGTGGTAAGCATATGTTTATGAGGCAAAAGGTGTAAACAAAGATGCGCCTATAGAGAAAGAACTGGTTGCGCTTGAAACTTTTGCCGTATATGACTGAAATTGATCATAATATATGATGATTTGTGTATGTGAAAACAATTTAAAAATGAACACTGCAGTTATAAAAGCAGTTCAAACAATTGCGAAAAAACGCCTTATAAAGATGGTGAGGGCTACAAAGCTGACAAAAGAGGACTCTAACCATAGAAACTTAGCCGTGAGGCTGCTGATGTTCGAAGAACGCTTAGGTCACCCACTTCATGACTTTCTTAGAAATCATTGATATCTGGCAACGCATTCACTCATTGACCCTTATTTGTCCTTTATCATTATTTTTGTTTTATCACTGGCTTCGATTCTTTTCGCAACTTCCTCAGCGTGCATTACTTCGAAGATATGATTCTTGATTTATGGACCCACCAAATGACTATTTTCTTGTACAGACTACACAGTTAGTTATTAATAGTATGTATTCATTTGAGTGTTGGCTGTTATATACCTCAAATTTTGGCAGTTTGTTTGAGAACGGAAGCTTATATCTTGCCCCATGGAAATCTTTTCGTGAGATACTGCAACGGCTACAATGTTCTGGTCCAAGGTATGTCAGCAAGTGATCTTCGATGTGAATCCCTGCACTCTTCCATGCCTGAAACAGGATGATGCGATAACTGATGGGCCTCATAGAAGAAACTTCAAGATATTTAATCCATTTTTATTTAAAGCAAGGAGAAAAGACAGCACGTCATTAAAAAGCTAGTGTGCAACGAAGGCGATTCAATTCTAGTAAGGTCTAAGAAATTATCCGTGAGGCACCGGAAGAATTGTTCGACGGGAGGAAAACTCGTTCGTTTCTGTGTTCCGTTCACGCGGAACCACCCTGACAGCTCGAAAGTTTAGACGCCTGGCTGTTCAACAATTTGAGCGCCGAATCGAGAAGGAGACGCCATTTTGGATTTGCTAAATTAGCGCTCTGCGCATGAGCAGATGGTAAAACCACTGAGAAAAACTGCTTCGTCAGTTCCTTTTGAGCGAAAACAGAGCAAAAATATTGAGCGGTTCTGTATGAAAGCGATGTTTTGTCAAATTTTTTAGTCCAGTGGAAAATTCATGCAGCGCAGTGTAAACGTATTAACCTAGCTTCAGTTACTTTGTAGTTTCATAGTTTTGTGTGATAAATTGTGTATGTTTCAGGATTTTTTTTAGGGGGGTGCACTCGTTTCTTGTTTTCAACAGAATACCAGATTAGAAAAAATTCAGGGGGGGGCATGCACCCTTAGATCCGCCCCTGTCGAGTAATTGGGCAAGCTCTCTTTATCCATATAAGTGTGAAGTGTATAAAATGATTTTTTATTTCTCCTCCCTTATGATAGTGCACTCGTGAAATGTAAGTCAGCCACTCTCTCAGTCCTCATTTTCCTAAATATTAGCTTTTATTGCCTTAACTGTAGTTTAAATTGAAATTTCCCATTGCCGTATCTTCACTTAATCGCCATCAGCCATTCCAATAACCACCCTAATAACTAGGACTCCCTCTTCCTCTCTCTCTTTTGGTCATACCTAGTATATAGTGCTATTACTATCAAAATGATTGCTGCTACTGTAAATCTCGTATTTGAGTCAATTATGAAATTGTCAACACTCGCTGCTTACAAGAGGTCCATCAGGTAAGCTATGATTCGATTGACTGGAATCCGTGAATACTCTCCTGATAATCTGGTTGCACATCTCCCGATTTCTACTAGTCTCGGCAAACATACCGTTCATTTTATCTTCATCTGAAAAGGCAGATAAAAAATATCACTCATTCTACTATTACTATGATCATCATCATAATCATCGTCGTCATCATTCTCATCCTTCTTTTCAGAGTTCTTTGTTACTCGTTTCTCGCTCCAAGGAACGGGTCATACTCGTCCCCAGAGCCTCCTGTTCCCATGGCCGGCGAGGCCTGAGCAAGAGGACCACGCCTCGCCGGCTAAGTGAACAGGAGGCTCTGGGGACGTGAATGTGGACTGGTAGGAGAGAACCATGACCTGGGAACGAATTTGTCTTTTTAGTGGTAGACTACAAATAGTCCCCATTTTTGCTCAGGGATAGTCGAGCGAGCGAAACGCGAGCGCGCGTGAAAATCACCCCACGCGAGAAAGGGATCTCGCCTGTCGCTTAAAGGAGTGCTTTCCATTCGCCTCGGCAGTAAAGGGTCTTTGATACATGGGGATTTTCCACGTTCATTGACCCGACGGCTATGACATGCTGATGAGCCCCAATAATGGCGAAACAGCTGTCCATGGCTGCCACTGCCCGGGTGATATGGCTGTGCGCATGCGTGAGGTACTGGCCAGGACGTTGGTTGGTGTATGTGTGTCCCCTGCTTTAAGTTTGTCTTATCACGCCCTTCTCGCTTGGGCTGATTTTCACGCGCGCTCGTGTTTCCTCGCTTTGCTATCCCTGAGGAAAAATGGGGACTACTCGTAAGCTATGCTAGGGGAGCTCCGAACGCGGAACCTCATCGGAAGGGAGGTTTGGTTCAACCCTCACGCTCGAATCATTTTAGATTTTGAACATACGTACGTGCGGAAGACTAGACTGAGAACAGTCTCTCTTTTGCTCTAAAATCTTTGGAACGAAGCAAAAAATTCAATTGGGATACACAATAAGAGAGAGGCTACTCACAGTCTACCGCATGAGAAATCATGTCTCAGCAAATTTTGCCGTTTAATTCAAGCATAAAAAGCCATGAAGTTTTTGCAATAACGGCGGTTAGGTCAAGTTTTACTCCTCGAACGTCAGCAAATTACTTTTCTCAGTTCTTTATTACTTATTGATGCTTTGCTTTAAGCGTACTTTAATATGGGTATGTTATAGTAGTGAAACAGAAATATTTACATACTTGCGGTGGACAGCTAAATTATTTCACCTGATAAAGGGAAAGAGAATCCGTACTTCGCAAAATAAATAACCTTCAGCTTTTCAATCATGTGATCTAAAGCCTGTACCTTAAATAGAAAAGCAAAAGGTAAATATAGTATTTCATCGTCATCCTTTCGCGGGTTTATAACGAACCAACTCGATGACCTGCGCCCACTTGCTTTTTGGCGCAATCAGTAGAACGCTGCACCAGTATCGCAGAGGTCAATTGTTCGAATCCCAGCAAGAGCCTGAATTTTTATCAGGCTTGCTTGTAATTTCGCAACTTCGAAAATTGCGTCTATAACGACGACGATCTCATTTCATTCACTTCTTTAACCCCGCAGTTCCGATATATGATTTTCATATAGTCATTATTTCAAAAAGTAAATTGATAGTAATTTTTATTGCGTTTTTGGCTGAATTTTCATTCTGATTATTTTTGCTGCTATTTTTGTTAATTTTTGGAACTGGAGGAGGGGGCGTTGGTGTCTATGAAAAAACCGAAATACCGAAATAGACTTCGATCAAAACCGAATACAAAACCGTCAAAACGGAAGATTATGCAGCTCAATTTTCAAAACCCTAGCCTAGATCTCAAATGTTAGTGATATGTGGAACATGGGACCAAACGGTACAATTGAAGAACAGCTCCCAAAAAATCTGTCATTAAATCTAATTCTGGTTTGTTGAACAAAACTGATACTCAAACTATCTCTTTTTCCTTGATGATTGAATATGAACTCTCACGAAAATTTTATCATCGACGAACAGCTCTCCTATAGTTTAACGACAATCGAGTCGGCCGTTTGTCTGCCGACTTTTGGTGGACATTTCGGCGGCCGGCAAACGGGGAGCTGTTCTTCAATTTTGCCGGCTACATAATAATATCATCACAGTATCAGCACTATCTATGGATTGTATATGGTCGTAAAACGGGCATACCTGCCCTAGGATCGACGTCTAGGAGAATTCACAAATCTCGATTGAATAGCAATAAAAGACAATGGGGGGAATTTTACGTTCGCAAAAAGCTCTCCTATAGCTGTAAACCTCAATCAAAAATCCAGAATCCCACACAGGGCATGTTGGACATGGATTGACTGTAAAATGGAAACATATAAAATAGCCTAACATGTGACTGCACAGAGACCCACTGAGGAATCTAACGTGCTTTATTTTTGCTAAAAAAGCGGAAAAACCGGAAACCGCAACGGACAAAAAACCCAAAAACCGAAGTTTTTCAGTGCAAAAAACAGAAAAACCGACCTAAAAAATGGCCAAGACCGAAAATCCCAACCTTCCCCCTCCTGGGGGGGGGGATAAATACCTAACGTTTATTTTATGCTACTTTTATTACTTTGCTATTGTTATCGCCCATATATAATAGCCGCACCGAAAAGTACGAAATATAATTAACATTTTTGTCGAATAGATTCAGGAGGCTAAAATAGTGACTTACCTTTCGCTCCATTTTTTCTGTGTGGTGGTTTGATCTCCTGGACAATGCCAAGAAAAACTGGGATAGAAGGTTGAAGGGCACTGGGATAGGATGGTAGTCTCTGTAAGTTCGAATTGTCACGGCTCTCTTAAACGACCACGCTCTTAATGAGTTGTTCTTAATTCAGTGGCGAAAGAGAAAAAACAAATTGTTTAGGTTTTGGGCTGTAATTAGATATAGAGGATGTTACATCGCCGCGCGGGGATACGAATTTTATCTTCGAGTGCTGAAATTATCTCTCAAGAGTGGGCGAAGCGAACGAGTGAGAGACACTTTCAGCACGAGAACATAAAATTCGTATCCCCAAGCGGCCATGTAATGTTCCGTTTATTTTATGTTCCTACATACAACACAACTTTTTTTTTGGCAAATCTTCCTGAATGTTCTTCAAGCTTGGAAAAAGTGTCGATGTGAAAATTTGGCAGCTTATCGAGAAAGTCACTGGTAACTGTACTGTCTTCGCACCTCGAAACTATTTTGTGAATGAAATTTCGAAAGAACCGGCCGCGCGCCTGAGCGGGAAGCTCTTTTGTAATTGGCTAATCATGTTAGTAACCATGGCGACACCAATATCCTCACACGCAAAAGATAAAAATAGTATCTTCACTGCGCGCCATGAAGATATGATTTTTTAGTAAAAGGAAAAATCCTGGTATTTCATCGGTATCTATATAATAAATTATAATTCAAGCCTATTTTAGGAATGTTTTGCATCATAGATATAATACTTCCCCACTTTGGAGCACAAAACTGAAGATTACAACAGCAACAAAGAGACAAATACCCCCTGGCTCTATGTTTAAGTAATTTGGGAACTCACTTTTAGTACTAAGGCCCTGTTTATACGGAGAAAAGTTGTCCCGGGCTTCTCAACATCTAGAATGTTAATCAGTTCGTTCACTAGGCACATTTTCGTGTTCCACCCATCAGCTATAAATACTCCACAGATCCACTTTCGAGTACAAATTTAGAGTCAGTTTCCCCAATATAAAGGCCCTAAATGGTACCTGATTCACTCAGTTTCCTAACCCTAATCGCTAAACTTCATAGTCATTCAGCGTTCGGCGCGGGGTTTCCGGATTCTGGGTATTAGGCAAACCCGAAATTTGTGCTCAAAAAACGGTCCACGTCATCTTACCTGAACTCGTTCATACGTGTGAGAGAGGACGGCGATCATCATATTAACAAGAAGGACTAAGGCAACTACGATAAATATTGCATATAAAATTGTGGCAAGAAAGTCTGATGCAGATTCAGTGGTGCTAAAAATTTCTAGTTCTGTTATTCCCAAAAGCGTCCAGGCAAGATGCTTCATGATATTGTACCAACTGAAAATGAAATCAGTGAGTGAATTAGACCACAAAATATCAACAGTCGCTGGTGCACTTTTGTCTATCAAATTAAAGAGCACCACAAAACAAGACAAATTGGAACACCAGAAGTCTACCAGAAAACAAACTGGCGACTGGCCATAGCACCGTAAGCGTTATACGAAAATCAACATGGTTAATTACAATCGTCGATTTTCACCGTATATTTTCGCTAAGTTTTGTTTTTAATACGTAGACAAAGAAGAAATAGTGCTTACCAGGAAAGTCCATTAAAGTGACAATCCAAGTAACTCCTATGAAAAAAAAAAAAAAAAGAAACAATGGTTAACTGAAACCATAGTTAAGACTTGCACTTCTAAGTAAATGCCGTTTAACCTACTTATTTATTTATTTATCTATTTATCTATTTATTATTTTATATTTTAGGGGTGAAGAATACCAACAATAGTACCTCACTTGGTTGGAGGAGTTAGACTGTGAAACCTGAACACCGAGACTGAGTGAAACATAAAACATAACCACTTTAAACATTCCAATAAGGTTTGAATAACAAAGAAAGTAAAAGAGAAAACATGGATAAACAAAATCAAAGACGATTAAAGCGGACTGCAAAGGGGTTCTCTTTTGAAAACTGTTTAGCCTGACAGTTTTTCAAATTTATCTATGTCATGATTGTGAGTTTGTGCGAGTTGTACCATATATAGTAGAACATAGAGTAGGAATGTACAAATCGATGGCCACCCAGATAAGAAGGAGGTGGTTCAGTCCGATTGTGCTTAAGATAATTCTTGGAAAACATTAGTGTGTTGTGACGCTATGAAAGAATTTGTTTTTTACGAGTCAAGTACAAGTGTTCTTTGGTATTGTTAAGCTCCATAGCGAGTAAAGGCAAGCTATTGGCTACCCCAAACAAACCGAACTAGACCGCGGTGTGACACGCCTTCGTCTTCCCTTTAAAAGCTCCTTTCCGTTTTTTTCCTTTTCGGAGTGAGACGATAATAACGAGACTTACCCATTTTTGTTCTTTAGTAACCTCTCCCCTGTTGATATGTACGATCCCTCGGCAACGTATATCTTAGTTATGGCCAGAGAAAATGCGAGAACTCCAACCGTGAACTGAATGAAAATTATCGCCACATCTACAATGATGCTGATAAGAGCAATGTGGGTGGTTCCAGTAGCTTTGCTCGTCTCCATCAGATGCCCAAAGACTCGTAACGTCAGAATCATTGTGTTTAAACCATAAAAATAGCCCGCGATGACCAAAGCCTTATTCCCAGGTATGGAGGTGGACACTCCCCATGTTACCATGCGCAACAGGAAAGTCACTACATATATGACGAGCATAATGAAGTCTAGCACATTCCAGCGGTCACTGAAATAGAAAAATTAACAACAATTATACCAAAACTTTGACAAAACAAAAGTGAAACCTTTTCCCAAAATCATTGTTCTTCTTCTTCTATCAGTACCTCTCTCGTTCTAGGAGAACAAGAAAAGCGAGACCCTCGGAAACAGTTTTGTGAAGGCGTGAATGTGTTCCACAAACTGAAACAATTGTACAAACCTTCACTGTTATATAAATTAGACAATAAAGTGCCTGAAATTTATTCTGAATTCCAACTGTTCTACTACGAAGTAGAAAAAAGTAATGCGAAGTCTGAGATTAAACTGGTGGAGCAAGAGCATTAAAAGAATGAAAATAAGCGATTTTTTAATCCAATTTTTGCAAATCAATTCTATTCAGTTTTTAGGAAAAGAAAATGCCATGTTCACACATATTTTTGGAAACGGAGAAACACGTAGCGTATTTGGATCGTTTTTGCCCGTCCACAAAAAAACGGTTATATGGTGGCAAGAGAGAATGATCTAAGAGAGCGAATCCCCATACATGCCTCTCTTCTCATGAAAACTATTTTCAATCTATTCTTTGTTCTGTGTCATACTGCGTGGTTATTTTGAAAACGCCACCTTATTGGTCGGTTAGAGTAGCGTCATGTAATTTTAAACTTGGCGGGTAATTTATTTTACTGCTGATCACGCAAAGCAAGCGATATGACGTGCAAACTTGGTATTACTTTCGGCGACGAGTCAAAAGATTTATACGTGGAATAATCTGGCCAGAGCAGCTGACGAAGAGCAAAGCGGTCCTGGCTTATGGGAGTTCGCCGGAGAAAGCGGTTCCGACTCGGCGAAAACTGCTTATCACTATAAAAGAATTGACCTAAACCGGAAACCGCGCATCAAAACTCTCTGGCATCCAGGTCAGCGACTGTTTAACAGCTTGAAGCATCTGACCTAATTTGTGTTTGCAGAGCGAAACATTCATCGCAAGTATTAGACGTCAAGAAGAAACTCTCAAGAATAATTCTTTAAAGCAAATGTACTGTTTGTGAAGGAAAAATATTCCTGGAAAAAGAGAAAAATATCTCGCACATTTGCTTAAACAACTGAAGCCAGCCACTGATTAAAGGTTTCGTGTTTCGCTCGTGATAACCTATGCCTCTGGCTTTCACAGCGTGCCAGAATTCAATATTCGTTACTTTAAATGAGGCTACCAGCCGTTAGAAAATCTCATGAATCTTCAGTCTCAAAGTGAAATTTTGACTCCAATACTGCAATCCCTTTGTAAATGAAATTCATTCCTAAATTATGAGCGGAGAGCGCTGATCAAAAACATGTCAACAACAGGAGCCGATTAGTAACAGCTCCTGGCGCTAATTACTATAATGGCTGTCAAACTTCAAATTTTTGGCGGCGAAACATGTCACGTTCACGTGAAAGTAGACCGCGCGAGTCACGGAAACAACAGACAAAAATAACCTTCGCAGCAGGCGCGCGAACTTTAAATAGATTTTAAAAAAATTATCGTGGGGCACAGGGATTCGCTCTCTTAGCTCATTCTCTCTTGATGGTGGAGATACGATAGCATCCTATTACAGAGCATGCGTCATATTCGAAAACCTCTGTTTTCGTCCATCTACACGTAAACGACAAGCCGGCGTTTTTTAAACATCCACCCTGGGGACAGTGTTTAACGCGAAAGACCTCACATTAAAACGCTGGTACGTGACTTTGCTTCAAGAGTCTCTCCATTTCAGAAACACAACATAAAAAAATATTGCTATATTTCAGAGTTATGTTTACGGCAAAAAGGTAAATCACCATTTGTACCACGCGACCAAGTTTTCTCTTACTTGTCGTTTACTTTTCATTATATCTACATAAAACTAAATACTTTGATGAAAGTCTAATTCCTATGACTTACTTTAGATAGTTTTTTCTACTCGTTTCCTTATAATATTCAACAAATTTCTTTAACACGTTTGTTGTAGACGTGATTCTTAAACTTTATCTCTCTATTTAATGGTGGTCACAGACAAATATTTTTTCATGACCCATTAATATGAACCGTTTAATTTTTGGAGAATTGAGTTTGCTCACTTTACCTGAAATATTTTCCTAATGAGCTGAGGATCTTTCGTGAACGAAAGTTGCCTTCTACTTCGACTACCAACTCAATGTTTTCGTCTTGGCTGTCACTAGATTGTTGGTGATAGTCGTATCTTCTTTGTTTTATAGAGTATTTGCGCCCTCTCTTCAATGCTACCCTGGCGTTGTATTGTTTTATTTCTGAGAGAAATCGGCCGATAAAAAAGACCAAGATCACCCATTCCGTGGCAGAAAAGGAGATAGTTGCTGGGGAAAGACAGATCGACATGTGTAGACCCAAAAGAAATAGGTAGCTCAGTGTGTCTCGGACAAATACGAAATATGGAGTAGTGAAGAAATCCAGGTATTTCTCTAAAACAAGATCAAAATTAATAAAACCTTCAATTAGTGGCTTTCATAAGTATGCAGGGGTGTTTTCTGACCATAAGCCAACTTTTGAGTGCAAATTAATTAAAAGTACTGAAAGGGAACTTGTATTATTCTAAAACATACGTTGAAAGCGTCTATTACTGGTCGCTTTATGTCCTGAAGTCAAAGATCATGTAAGCGTAGTTTGGAAAACCATTTATTTTTTCTATTGCATTTCCATAGCCTCACTCAAACTGTGCAGAACACACGTTACCGGTGATAGCGCCGGTATTTACGGTGGGAAGGTATTAACAAAACAGCCATGGGTGTGGTTGGCTGCAGAATGTTGACAATAGAAGAACATGGGGCTCAGAATATACAAAGGAGAAGGGTAAATAAGTAACATACACATACACATAGTTTTAAGAATGAAGTACCATTGTGACATGCCCGCGGGTAGTTTTGCTATCCTAATCTAGGCGGGTCATGTTTTCAGGAAATAAATACAACTAAAAGTAACAAGAGACCTAAAAGAGCTGGAATTGACATAATGAGTAAAGACTACTAATGTAATATTAATAATGACAACACAGTTATGACTAGAGACTACTGATAAACTAAACGATATTATATATATATAATACTAAAAAATACGATATTAATCGTAGTAAAACATAAGCGATCAAATATCTACAAATAATAAAAAACATAGAGTCAAGCATTATTTCTAAAAAACGGTTTTGGCTGTAAAGCCCACATTTAATGTATCAGTTTTTTCTGCCTAAACATAATATTGGAATTACCCTTACCGTAGATATCTTCTTCGTAAACCTCTAAAAATGCGAAAAAAATAACATTGAAGATATGGTCGGTATCATAGTAAACAGAAAGTATAACATACTTGTGTGTCAATTAACTTGAAAGCTTATAAGTTTAGGAAAATCCTAATTACTTCAATCGTCAATTACACCTTGTTATTTAACAATTATTCCTCGAGCCCGAATGGGCTCTGAGTCACTGAGTCTCTCTAAAAGTCTGAGTCTGAGTCTCTCTTAAAGTCCGGATGGCCATGCTATTTACCGCCAAAAGGTGCGGGTGACAGGATAAGAAATTTCACAACGGCTTACATGTAGGGGCGGACGTACGGACGGTCGTACGGTCACGTGATTACCAAAATTTCTCGCGACTATTGGTTACCATTTTTTCTAAACCATGGTGCTCCGCTGAGCGCACTTCGCGGGCGAGAGAGCTCCGCTATAAACACTTGGAGAGTTTGCCTGACACGAGTTCACAAATCTTTGATTGGAATCAATTTGCCATACACTCCTTCTCTCTCTTTGGGGGAATAAGATTCAGTCCACAAACAACAAGACGAGTGAATCTACGGCTAGCCTTTCTCTAGCAGAACGATGGACGAATACAGAAATTCGCCGACAGTTAAATTCTGTGTTGACTTACTACCTGCTCACAGATGTCCTTCTATAAAGTTTAAAAAAAGTTTAGAACGCTCGAGCGTGAATTGATCAAACCCTTGAATTTCTAAGGCTTACTTTCCGGCAAATAAACTGAACTGTGCGTAAAAGTGAAAGAGAAGTAGCGAAAAATTCCAACTTCTAATTAAATCTTTTCTTATTGTTTAGAACAAACTATTCCCGAAACTGAAAATGTTTTGATCAAAGCTTTGTAAATCGAACTGAATAAGTGCATGGAACCTTGGGTTTCCTGTCTTTATCTCTACTATTGGAAGGAATATGTGTGAAAATCTTCATTATAAATCGGCATATTTCAAACAGTAACACAACGACCAAGCTAAGAATAGTATTAACCGACAATATACAGAGCGGGGGCAGCTGTAATATCAACTATTACCATTGTATGAGGGTGTTGGGGGATAAAAGGATTAAGCTAAAAACACAGGAGAAACCTTTAGATTTTGAGACGATGACATCTATTAGAATAAGTCATTTTGGCGGGTTAACAGGATAGCCGTCGTCAATTAACTGCGGCGAGTTTTAGCGAGAATGTCGAAGTGGCGGAAACAAGTTATCAAATGCATAAATTTTTTTCCTTTTGTGATCGGGACAGGGCTTTACCTCTCTCAATAAATATGACCGTGTTAACTTTTCGGGTAAAAAAGTAATAGGTGTCTTTTTTCTGAAATATGCGAAAATGACTTTAAGTCCAATCTCATCCTCGTAGTTTTTCTCGTCCTCCAGTTTAAAGGTATCTAATTTCACCTTGGTACTAGTTTCGTGAAATGCTCCCACATTATTAGAATTAAGCACCTCTTAACAGCATCCTTGCAAGTTTTGCGTGATCTTCCAATTGAGTACGGAAGACTTTATTTTCTGACGCAATACGTTCGAGGTCATCCACCACTGGACGGTCTCCAATAGCAACGGGAACAATCTTAGCTCCAATTGTTTCTGTCAGATTGTTTGCATGATGACGTAGTTTTCCTTTCTGGGGACCAAATGATCCAGTCGAGTCATTTGAGAACAAAATGACAACCTGCAGTATAAAAAATACACCGAAAAACTCCGCTATACAACATACTCCAAAATGGTGGCAAGAATATTTTTTTCTTCTATATTTATGCTAACTAGTGCTCTTTGACTCGATTTCATCTGCAGAATTTAAAACAATTTTTACCAATTAATTTTGGACCAATTATCATCACGGCAAGAGAATAACTAAATTTGTAACCTGAGAAAACAGCCATTGCATCTCTCCTCGATGATATGAGAGAGGAGAGACGGTTCTTTTCACAGGCTCCTAAGTGCCACCATTCAAGGGTGTATGGTATAATAATTATGCAGCATAGCCGTTCTCGTCTGGGGTGAAACCTGGAAAAGTTTTACTATAGGTTCATTGGATTGTAAGACAGGCACATTGATGTATTATGCGTCCATACGAGAACAAGACGAATAGGAGCACTAAAACAGGTACTTTGTGGTTCTGCAGACCAATACCAAGTGGTGCCATGAAGGTCGAAAGGTGGACAAAAGACGCATCATGGGTCTGGCATAATGCGAACTTGATTCAGACGGCCGCCTAGTAAGCTCAATTGGTTGGGTACCGGACTAAGTGCTACATTTGTACATACATCTGCATCAAATCCTTCTTCTGACTCACTATAAGGTTAACCACTGAAGACGTAACAAACCCTTTGGCACTGGAATGACTAACTAGATGAATAATGACCATAATGTGCCCTAATTTCTGCCCCACCCCCTCATTAATTCATTGCTCTTCAGTTCTCATTCCCAACACTATTAGCCCTTCTCAAAATTTTAACAGCACCAAGAAAAGAAACCGCTCTCTGTAATTACTCCGATAATTTGAAATTTCCCAATGAAAGCAAACAATATAAACTGATTTATGCGCATATTCCAAATAATTATGTTAAGCTTATGCATTGAAGCCAAATCCAGTTGTATTCTACCTTCTTCGAAGTTATCCGAACAGCGTCACTCTTGAAAGCTTCCTCTGCCTGCTGAAAGTCATCATGAAGAGCTGGACAGCAATTCAACGGTGGATTTAGGGCATCCAATTTTCTTATAAGGTTATCTCTGACATTTTTAAACACAAGGCGACCTCTGCCTTCTTGGTCGTTGATGTATGTGGATTCGCTGTTGTCAAATTTAATATACTGGAAAGATTTTCCTCTCTTCAAGCTTACCACGCAGTAGTTAGTTGAGGAGACGCCAATTTGGCTGATGATGTATTTGATGCAGTCGATCATCTTCGACAAATCTTCTTTGCCTCTCTTTCCCGTGGCATTAAGAATAAAACAAAGATCAAGCTCTGTGAAAAAAGTTAAGATCACGCAAAAATTTGGAGGAACAACTTAGAAAGACCAGTAGCAAAACAAGCCTGATATCAGGTCCTGAAGAAGAACTTTCATTTATTCTTCCTATATTACTTGTATTTTTGTGTTTGTTGTTTTGAGATTAGTATGTACACTTTTTGTTAGTGGTCATTTTTTGATTCATTCCACAGCTGAACTTGCTGCATGGCTTGTCTATAACGACATAACCATCATGCAACTTCGATCTGCTAGTTGAGTATGGAACATTAAGAGGTTTGATTGCGCTCACGATCATCCATATCAGAAATCTATTCATTGATTTTTTTTCCCTAACATTTCGAACAGGAGATCTTCGAATGATGTGAAGGATGCGTGTATAGGCCACTAGAGTGTGCCACTAATTTTTGCCAGGTTCTAATATTCATTTTTTTGGACCAAAACGTATTTGCTTTGAGTACGAAGAAAAGATTTTTTATCGCTTACAAACCTCGGCGCTTTCTTCTCCATTTGTTGATGTTATGGATGAAAAACAACACAGCGAACAGGAAGGGAAAGAGAAAAATATCAAGTAAACAATAAAACTTCAGCATCATCCATTTCATTGGCCACTTCGATTTCCAACCTGCGAATCGTCCTCTCCAAATTTTGTCCAACAAGTTATAAACGACTGGGTGCGATAGAAACTGAAGAATAAAACAAAAGAAGAAATTCATTCCATTTACATTGCTATACCACTCCTTGTCTTGGGTTTCACAATATCCCAGTTCATCTAGCACGGAGGCGACTTGCTGACTGACAGCCAGCGGGAGAAGCTGCAGCTGAAAATTTTGAAGCTATGTTGATGCAGGGTGGTTTACCCACTCGGTGACTGATGGTTTTAAGTCAGTTGCATTATTGACAGTGAAAAGTAAGAGCCCATCACACCGGAGACTCCAATCTCATCTTTGTTTTTCGGATTTCCAGCAGGCTATAAATAGATTCAGTTATCAGCTGATCACTTAAAGCATAAGTAGGGCTCCTGCCAAAAACGCGACTCACTGGTGTTGTTACTGTGTTTCACTTACCTTTTCCTGGTTATGTTCAATGGCTTTGTCTAAAATCAAGTCCAGAGTATCGCCAAAAGCTTCTCTTTCTCTTGTATCAGACTTGAGAGGGTCTATGAGAGAAGTAGTAAATTCCTCCACGGAATTTGCTAATTTGTCAATTTCTTCCACATCCGGCCTGTCCTGGCGAGCTTGGAATCTTAAATATCCACTGACCTATATGCAATAACGTGGCCAGTGATTTAAAATGACATCAAAATATAGGAAAGAAGAAATGAGCGATTCCCCTGTAATCAAGGAGGGTATCGCTGTTCGAAGATGCGTCAGCATATCTTTTGGTAAACACAATACGGCTCTCTAGTTTTTTTCTGTCATACCTTGAGGTCTACTATATACGACATATCTGAGAATATATAGAGAGGAGAAGTGTGATGTCACGTTACAATGATAGCAAAATGTTTGGATCGCAACAAGCAACGACGACGGCGACGGCGACGGCGACGGCAACGAGAACGGCAAAAAATCCGTAGGTTCATGTTAGGCCAACGCCTTTTTTTTCGTTCAGCGTCGAATGCGTTTCCTGATATTGGATTGCTCAGTCGGATTGCAAAAAAAAATTTTAAAAAAAATCACTAGAAGTCTCGGAATAGGAGGCCCTGGTACCCCAGGACGACGGTAAAAGTTAACATTCACATATCTGGATTAACAAAATGCACAACATACTGTAAAAATGTTCCTTTTTTGTCCCTGTTTTTCTCTATGCTGTTACTATTCTCATTTTTCAGATTAAAAGAATTATTTCAAGTGAAAAATGGTTTAACTAAGTCGTTTTTTTTTTTTTTTTTGGAAAATGCCAAAAATTTGGGTCGTTCGGACGACGCTAAACTGAGAAAAAAAAGAGGGTGGCCTTAGCAAAACAACAACTTTGCACGTGCATCACGCTCTTTAGCCGTCGTTGCGTGGCTGCGACATTGAAACTTCCTAATTTCACGCGCCCACTTCATGGAGTAGGTGAACACAAAATAAAAATTTTCGTGGTCTTTTTTCTAAACTTAGATACGGTCCTTTCGGATTCAACCCCAGAAAATTTCGCCAACTTTTGTACAAATTAAATGAAATTGAATAAGATCAATGAATGAAGTTTGAAACAGTGCGAATACTCTTTTTAAGTGAATATTCGGTTTGTTGTCATCCAAAAATTCTGCTACCACGGCAACCGACGTAACGACTTTTCCTCTCCATTATACTGGAAAGCTCTTCACCAGTCGGTCTAGCATAGCGCGCGAGACCGACAGATTTCTCCGCAAACCGGCTGTAGGATAACAATTCCCTTATTTCGCTTTAGTCCCAAATGGTTAAATTTCGAAACTTCAAAGGTACCACATTAATGCACGTAGACTGCCTTATCTTAGGTAGTACCCCACAACCAGAGCCGTTGCCTTGCAGAATACCTTTTACGTTTTTCTCATCATTTGCTATTGAACTGAACTCAAATGTCTGCTTGTTTTAATGTATGGAGTTTTTTGTTCACACTGATTGGCGATAATTTTATAGATAGCTAGATAGATAGCTAGATAGCTTTATTAAAAATCCATTGCAGCCCAAGGGCTGGATTACGGACTGTACAATACGTTGAATACTAAAACTAACTATTATAAATCAATAACAGTAAATAAATAAAACAAAGGAACAAAGATACTACGTCATGAAATTTAAGAAAATAGCCGCGAATTTACAATAAAACCATTAGAAAATAGCCGCGTTATGCATGATAAAACTATTCATTAGTCTATTTGTTCTACAAAGAGGCACGTTAAAAGCGCGCTTTCTCCTTAAGGCTACAGTACTAAGATTACGTGGCGGCAAAAGGCCATGTAATTTGTGGAGGCTGTTGTCCTTAATCTCATTGAATAGGCGCTCTGTCAGCCATTGGCGCCGTTGATGGAGGGTGGTAATATTGCACTCTTTGAGAGCCTCTTGATAGCCTAAATCTGGGAAAATAATTCTAAGTGCACGGCGCCGAATTTTCCCTAGCTCTTCAGAGAGATACTCAGGCAGACCATTGTGGAAAACTTGGCAGGCATATTCAGACATGGGCCGGATACACGTAGTATAGAAACAAAGTAGCTGCGCAGGATCTCCTTTTGCACGCTTAAGCTGCCTTAATAGATATAGCCTAGAGGCTCCTTTTTTGATAACATTCTCTATGTGAGCGTTCCACTTTAGATTGTTTGAAATTGTGAGACCAAGAAGTTTTGCGCTAGTTACAACCTCAATTGGTTTGTTGTTAATAGTAACTGCTTCGAAGGGATCTACAGACCTTGAGAGACTTATCTGCAACTCTTTACACTTGGTCTCATTCAATTGGAACTTATCTATTTCGGCCTGCCTAACTAGGTCGTCTACAGCAAATTGGATTCCACTTGGTTGGCCCTTGTGGACTGTCTCGGCCATCGATGTGTCATCGACGTACTTCCAAAGGTTGACGCCATTGACATTGATGTTATTTATCATTACCAGGAAGAGCCAGGGCCCCAATTTGGTTCCCTGCGGGACACCTGCCCTGACAGATCCCCAATCCGAGTAGCAATCGTGGGCGAGTTTCACTCGTTGCTTCCTGTCAGTAAGAAAATCTGCAATCCAGTCCAGCACCTAAAGTGGAAGCTCATAGTCAGTAAGTTTAGCCATAAGAATGGCGTGGTCGATGAGATCGAATGCTTTCCTAAAGTCAAAGAGCACCACGCGCACTGTAGAACCGTTGCCGTCAGTATTCTTATACCAGTTGTGGAGCATGCTGATTAGGGCATGCACTGTGCTGGAGTTCGGAACAGTTCCATATTGGTTCTGGTCAATCTTCGCAAGGACGGCAGGCCTGATGTAGCCGTCAACGACAAACTCTTCCCCGACTTTGGAGAGAATTGGAGTCAACGAAATGGGTCTCAGGTGTTTGTTCACATCGCTAACAAGTGAAGTCTTCGGGAGGGGTGTAATGTCCGCTTTCTTCCACGAGGTTGGAAGGCGACGCTCCAAAAAGGAAGAATTCAAGATGTCTGCCACTGGTGCAGCCAATAAGTCCGCGTTTTCTTTTAATACCCAAGAGGGGATTCCATCAGGTCCAGATGCTTTGTTCGTATTAAGCGCCGATAGTTTCTCAAAGACTGAAAACTCAGATATCGGACGGGGAAGATAAAGTCACCTACCTCAAAAGCCTTGAGAAGTGCATTCTTAGCACATTGTCCGAGGTTTTTTGGAGTGATGGCTTCTGCTATATCATCAAAGTCATCAGAAGCCAATTTTCTGTTAAGTCCCTTCTCGAAGTCTGTAAATTACGAACAAGATGCACGTGCACTTTTTACGTTTTGCAATAAACTTAATAATTTCAGCAAGATCATGGACACGTAAAGGCGCAAAAAAGAGAAAATGGGAATGACATCGTTATGTGCTTTAAAGGTTAGTCTACAAGCCTGGGGTGCCCCTATATTCGCTTTGATTGTAATTAAGGAAACTAACTTGGACCGTATTAGATCGGGTTTTGGTCTCCCACGGTACTTTTTAGCTTCCTGTTATTGACTGAACGTCGTCGATGGCACTGAGTTTTAGTGCTAACGAGAAAAATCCTTAATTGAAATTAATCTTTATAGCTACAAGACAAGTGAATTTCACTCCCAGTCATGAGCAGCATACTAGTTTTGCAGTTGAGGTGGGCTACTGCGTCTTTGAGCGTGGTGGAGTATTAGAGAAGTTGAGAAGTATTGCGTTACTTTCTCTCCACGACGTTCGACCATGCACCTGTGCAATACTATACTGCCATACAATAGCCCTGATTTCTTCCTTACTTCCTATACAGCGTTTTGCAAACTCAATCTGCCCATTTTGCACGCGACTGAAACTCGCTTTAGCAGCGCACCAAATCACGATTATTCTTGAGGTTTACAACTTGCTTTCCAAACTGAATCGCGAGAAAATCAACCTCATAAAAATATCCTTTCGACCTTAATGGAACACAAGACTTGACCAACCTGATACAACTGGCTTCACTTCACTCATTTTTGACTAATCTGAAGAGTTCCTAAAAAGAAAACAACGTAAGAAACACCTTAATACTTCTGAATGTAATTGCGCTTGAAGGGAGATTTAAAAAAATTCTTTCGAAACTCTTTAAAGCGGACGGTTTAATTTTAACACATTAAGGTCGCAGAAGACATCTTGGGCTCATTGTTACGCAATTTATTTATTTATGCACAAAGTACAACGACTGATAATATGGACACGTAATATCCATAACTGGATAAAAGATGAGTACATAATTTAAAGTGTTCACATGCGAGTGTGGCACGTAGACTGCGAACAAAATGTTTATTCAAAAGTAAAAAACAGTTTGAAGGTGCGTGGCAAAACGCGCAAAATCGCTTTTCAACTCGTTTTGCCGTTTTGTTACTAGTTTTACCTTAGCTTCACCCTGATCAGTGCTGCGAGTGACACCCAAGTTGAGCAGCATACTAATGTTTCGGTTTGTCTGTGGTTCATTGGGGAGGGAGTCAAGGGTAAACGTAGCCGATCTACCCATGCGATGATCTGCGGCAGGCAACTCTTAACGTTCCATTGAAGCTGCTCTACTCTAAAAGATAAGTAGTAGCGGTTACGTAGTTTGTGCCGAAAACGTTTGATAATGTCTGATAAGTAGTTTGATAATGCCGATAATTATAATAATAAGAAGAAGAAGAAGAAGAAGAAGACGAAGTCACAATTCTCTGGGATATGCAGATAAATACGGATAGGCAACTGTCAGCGATCGGAGCAATCCTCAGCTGATATAGTGCCAACCGGTGTTGCAAAACTTAAGATGTATCGGTACCATCCGACCGAAACACCTCGATGAAAGTCATTGAAAAGCTCTCAAAATACAAAGATCTTGAGATTGAAACCACGAGAATGTGGGGAATGAGGACAGAGACTGTGCCGATTATTGTTGGTGCGCTGAGACTCAGAGAGGGAATGGACCAGAATTTAGGAAAGATCCCTGGAGCCAGTAACATTAATGATCTGCAAAAGATAATCCTCCTAGGAACGGCGCACATACTGGGAAGGTTTCTGTCCTTCAAATAAAAAACTTCCCTGGTACCTCAGTACCAAGGAATAGCCCCCGTTCTAAGAGAGTGTAGGAAGCAATTAATAGCACTGAAAAGGTTTATAATAATAATAATAATAATGATGTTGATGATTTATAGCCAAAGAGTATTATCAACTGAATTCACAGATTTTATATACCATTGCTATTGCATTTGTCGTCGTTAGGAATTTGCCATCAAGAGTCTCGCATTTATGGAGTCTTGTCATAAGGGATACATCCTTTCGATATTAGTTGCCGTAAGGCTATGGATCCTGAATTATTGTCAAATAAACTAAACAGTTAACTCAATATCTCTCTGGCGCAAGCTTTACTCAAATAAATTTTATTACGAGGAACAACAAATTGGAAGCGACATTATCATGACAATACTGGTTTCAGACATAATCATTAGAATATGGATTTCATTCTCTACTTAGTTAACTATATTTATAGAGGGACAGTCCCACCATGGCTTATTTATAACTAAATGAGGTCTTCTTGAGGCAAACACGTTAGCTTTATGCTCCGTTTCATCAACTTTACACGCAAAATACCTGATTTCAAGGCATCGTTATTCTTAATTGAAGAGCATTTTATACTTACTGAATTGCAAGCAAACGGTGGGCAGATGGTCTAGGTTAATATCTTGCAAACTGAAACATCTCGTGGCTTTGCTTCTACGAGAAACAAAACAAACTGCTCGAGTTGCAGACTAAATATTCAAAATATATAAGGTTCTTGTTTCGTGAAATGAACTAATCTTCGATGTTGCGTTACTATTTACTTAAAGAAAATCAAGAGTGGAATTGCTCTGACTGGGTCTCCGCATTACTGGATCTACATACTGTGCGTTATTTTTTTTAAAGAGCATTTCTTACCTTTTTTAAGACGGGCAAACGTCTGCACGGTAACTCAGCAAAACTCGTAAACTTCCCTAACTTCCTGTGTTCCTGTGTGCTTGAGTTTTATTACTAAGCAAGAGCATGTTCAACGTTCTAGATTAGTCATGTAAATCAAGTGAATGCGGAATTTTGTACTGGTAACGTGTTCACTTTTTTCTACATGCTCTTTCAATTTTGTATGAGCGTCTCTATACCAAAGTATATGACAACGTGATTCCCATGAGATATTAATTCAATTTACTCTTGCTCGTAACTCTGCTAGAGTTACTTTTAAAGCAAAAGCTCGTCTGAACGGACTGAACTAAATATGTTCTCCAGTATTCTAAGTCAGTGGCGGATGCCGAGTTACTCAGCCATAAAACACGCAATATCTTAAAATGATCCAATTCTTGAATCATCTAAACTGCATGTAGTAATAAACATCCTACCCAGTACCATTCACAATAAAATGGTGCGGGAGAAAGCCGTTTTTGCACCTTGTTCAACTGTCACAAGAACGCAAACGCACAAAAAAGTCTTTTGATGGTCACAGACCATTTAACAACCCATACTACTCCTTTCAGACTTCCGGTTGTTAGTTGACGTCACCCTTTTGTGTATCCTTGCTGGAAGCAATATAGTCTGCACTCTCTAAAACTATGTTCACCCATTTAGTTAATACCTTTCCTGTGGAAAGACCTTGCAAGTAGACATTAGGGATGACCTGTCCCTGTCACAGGTCGAAGTGAGCACGTATACTACATGCACATCCATATTCTTGTATTTTTCGTTTATGTTTATGTTTATCTAGGTTTTTTAGGAATTCAATTTTTTTCAAGGGTTTTTTAAGTAATAATGGTAATAAGAAGTTTTTGGATATCAGAGCGGTGCTTTGCAGCATGGGTCTACAAGGTCCCGTTTGCCCTTGCCCTGTAAGGAATTCGCATTTTTCGTTTCTTTAATGACAAGTCTATTTTGCCTCTATAACGTGTTAAGAACTAAGAGAGTGAGCCTAAGCAACCAGACAGCGACAGAAGCGACAACATAATTAAAAAATTGAACTCGCGCTGTTTCAAACTTGATCGCTGTTATTTCACCTCGATGTTTCAAATCTTGGAAAAATTTGTTGGAGTTGTACAATACCGCCCCCGCTCCAACTTCATAAGAAAAAACGGAGAATATCGTCGTCTTGTGCTAACGTCTTCCATAAAACTCCCGAAATAAGGAAGTTTCTTCCAAATAGACTGTGAACTGCGTAGTAGTGCAGTGACGGCAAGAAATGTATCAGAAGTGTGACGAATACACATACAGAAGCCTTTTATGACATTCAAGTTGCCATCACCGTCGTCGTTGCTTAAGCTCTTTAATAGGGAGCCTAAGGGACGGCGACGGCAACTAGAACAGCAAAAAAGCAATAGGTTTACAGTAGCAAAACATCAACTTTGCACGTGCATCACGCTTTTTGTTGTACATTTCTTTGCCGTCATTGCACGTCGACTACAACGTTTAAGTGCCTAATTTCACGTTTTGTCAAGGAAGGGAACACAAGACAACAACTTTATTTTTCTTTTCCTGAACTTTGATACACTTCTTTGGAATTAAGCTTCAAAAAAATTGCCAACATTTGACGAATTAAACGAGATAGAATAAGCGCGATAAAGTTTGAGGCAGCGCAAATTCACTTTTTAAGTGAGGTTTTCGTAGCCGTCGCCGTCGTTGTTGCTTAAGCTCCCTAATATGAGATTACTAACAACGGCAGGGCCCAACTCTAGATCAGTGTCCCCCTCCGTTTTTTTGTGGTGTCCTTCTAATAGAAGTGTCCGTTAACTAAAGAGAGAGTTTCCTGGAAAATGTTCATCTGGACGAAATGTTCGCCGGAATATGGCTCAGTACAATGCGTCATAACCCCTTTCCAACTTGATTAGCTTAAGAGTAATAACAATTTTCTTATAAGAAGCAGTAAGGGGACAGTACGTTTTTGGAGCTCCTGCCTTAGTATTTGGAACTTTGAAAATAATGTTATCTCTGAGGTAGCCCCAAGGATAGAAGAAAAAGCCTGAATGTTTCTCCTTCGATCATCTCGCTAGAAAGCTCTATTTAATCGCATATGTAGTTTAACCATCTCCCCTTAACGCTTCCTGCTCAGATCAAGACGTTCTCACCTCTTCTTTAGTTAATGTTCTGCCAATGCCTTCCAAGCTATAACCTTTATCTGGCTTACAGCAGATCAGACTGTAAACCACATACGGGGGATGAAAGCGCTATCTGGTGAGCTGTTTCGAAAAACTGAGAAAATACATCTTGAAATGTGGACATTTTGCCGGGAATTTGT